GGGGGGGAGGGGCCTGCAGCCACCCCAAAATTCACCATACACACTCAACTGCTGTAGTGCCACCACTGCCTGCTCCAAGTGCAGCCCAGCCCCCACTGGGAAGAGCCCAGCATAACCCCAGCCCCGGCCTGCAGCAGCAGTGCCCCCTCACAAATCTGGGGGCACATGCCCCCCTGTGCCCTCCCAGGGTGTGTGCAGGAGCTTCCCCCCCTGCCCCCTGGATCAGCCATGGCTTCATCCTGTGCCCTGCCCCAGCCTCACTCCTCCCTCACTGCAGGGGCCTTGACCTGCCCCCCCACACCCCTTCCCTTTCCCTTCCACTTCCCCCACAACAGATTTACCAGCTGGACACAGCTCTCCAAGCTGCCGGGCTGTGCTGCAGCTGCACTCCTGCATGGGGCATTCATCAGCCACGTTATTGGCCACATTAGGGGGAAAAAAGCTGATTTCCAATACGGTCAATTTTCTTTATATTGGTGCCGGTCCAATATTAGACCAGTGTAGCGGCGCACCTCTAACTTTTACTATTGTAGTTTTTACCTATTAGCAAAACCATTCTCAAAGTTTGCTTCAAACATCCTTATCAGAACACAAGTAATGAACGGTGGTAAGAGAAATAGGATCAGCGCAAGAAGAACTGCCTCTCGGATCTCCTAACTTCCAACTTTGTGAATTAGTTGGAAAATGGCAAAAGCATCAGAGCACCTTGAGAGTCTTAAACATGATACAAATTCAGCCCCCAGGATCCCTTGATGCCATTTCCCAGGGAGCAGAACTTTTGAGAGTGTACTCTGTTTGAAGGGAGCTTAATCTTTCATTTCCCTTATGGGCAAATAAAGCACAAGGAACAAATAATTTTTTCTGGATTAATTAATGCAGCAAATAGAAAATCAGAGACAGGCAACTACTGAGCTTTTAAACAACTCTGGCTTTTTTGGCTGCGATTTTCTCTGGCTCTGTAGTGAGATTTTAGCAGGATGTAAATGGTGCATGGAAATCTCTGTTCAGTGCAGCTGCTTTCATGCTGTGGTGTTTGCTGATGTCTACAGAAATACACCAGAGAAATTTGATTCTTGGCCTGGAAACCTTGCTGGGGCCAAGCAGCTTCAGCTCCTACTTGCATCTACTAGCAAACACATCTATGACCTGAATTTTTTCTGTCCCCTCTTACAACTTAAAGTGGCCTCATTTTAGGCAGTGCAGAATATTGGTAGGGGAGTAGCTGAAAATTATTTTCTTTCTTCATATGCCTTTATTGTCACCTCATTTTTTTGACACCTGGAAGCTATTTCCTGTTTAATGTTCAGCCCAACCTCCTGTTTTAATGGCTGTCTGCTTAGAAGCCAGATTTCCTTTTGATTTCTTTCCTCATTCTTCTACAGAGACACTGCAAATGAAAACTCCTAGGGATTCAGAGCTTTCAGAAAGTGATAGTTGGTATAACTGAGTCAACATGATGCATGGCGACCAGTGGCATCCCTCAGCGCTCAGTACTCAGACCAGTACTCTTTAATATATTCATAAATGAACTGGATTCAAGTGTCATAAGTGGACTGGCTAAGTTCATGGATGACACAAAATTATGGGGAAGTACAATCACTCTAGAGGATAGGCTGGCAATTCAAGATGACCTGAACAGGCTCGCAAGGTGGGCAGATCAAAACCTGATGACATTCACCACTGAGAAATGCAAGGTGCTCCACTTTGGGACAAAAAACCCACATCATACTTAACAGGCTCGGCAGTGCTACACTCACTAGCACCACAACCGAAAGAGACTTGGGGGTGATGACTGACCACAAGATGAATGTGAGCCACCAATACGAAGCCGCAGCTGGCTAAGCAAACAAAACTCTGGCTTGCCTCTGCCAGTGCATCTCAAGCAAGACCCAGGAAGTCATCCTCCCGCTGTACTCGACCTTGGTGAGGCTGCAACTGAAGTACTGCATCCAATTCTGGGCTTCACAATTTAAAAAGGATGTGGAGAAGCTTGAACCATACCCAATGCAAGCACCTACTCTGGATACCTTTTTAAGAACTGCTTAGATGCCTATCTTGCTGGGGTCATCTGCCCCCAGCTGACTTCCCGCCCCTTGGGCAGGGGGCTGGACCTGATGATCTCACGAGGTCCCTTCAAGCCCTAATGTCTATGAAATCTATAACTAGAACTTCAACGCTGTGAACATCACAGGCACCATTTGTTCTGCTTCATTGTGAATGTCATTTTATTTTATTTTTTTTAATCCAGTGCATTTCAAAGTCAGTGATTCCATGTCGTTGGCCTGGTGAAGGAGGGGGATCACGAGCTTTGGTCCATGCACAGGAAAGGAAGCAAAACGAGCAGTTTCTGTGAGCTCCATGTTGTCAGGGAGACTGAGCAACAGTGGAGATGTACTGGAACATTGTACAGAAATCTCCGAAGGTCTTGTGATCTGCACAGGTTTGGACATTAGCATGCCCAGCTACTTTGGGGGAGCACTGGCCAAATGCTGGCCTCCCCGTGGAAATGGCAGAGAGCAGTTGTATGGGATCAAGAGAGAAATTATGAAGGAGCCCCACATTTTAAAAGTCTGTCTCAATTTCTGCCAGTAAAATTTCACTGTAGAGTTCCCAGTAAAGAAATAAATTGTTAATTTTGTCAGATTAGCAAACTGAATGCCGTTCTGTTTTTCAGGTCGCATGAATCAACCGAATGACACAGACCAACGGATTAAGGCTACCACACAAAATGGCTCCGTACATCTTAAAAGCCAAAGCTGGTTCCAGTCCATCAAGCTGCAAGTTCCTTGAAGAACAGGCCAAAGGTGTTTAAGACAAGGAACTGTAAAGACTGTAACATTATGTCAATACTACTCTTACACTAGTGTAAAACATACATAAAATATGAGGCCTTTTTTGCCCAACATTTTCTTTTATTAAACGGCTGTTGCTATTTAGCTGCTGTATGAAACAGGCTTACTCTTAGTCCTGTATGTTCAGAAAGGCAGTAATGTTCAAATGGAAATTGTAAAGCCACTGCTGCAAACTTTTTAAATACCTATTAAAAATACAAAGAACTGTGATTTGAACTTTGTGGTGTTGGCCTGCTCACCACAGTGTTTCAAAAATGTAAATAAAATACTGTCTCCTTATGTGAAAGGCTTGTTTTATACACAATGCTGAGATTTTCCTTTTGTTGAGTTATTTGCATCACGTATAGGATAAAACCACTTTCAGAACTGCAGTTCACATTTGGTTGCGGATAGGCATCTTGGCTCTAAGAGATGTACGACTTGTCGTAGTATGGTAGGTGTTAGGGCAGGGGTGGGCAAAATATAGCCTGCCGACTGGATCTGGCCTGCCAGGCACTTTCATCCACCCCACAGCGCTCCCCAGTGAATTGTGCCTGGCCACCCCTTCTGCCCAGGAAGGTGGGAAGGAGGCGCCTCCACCCGCCCCCAACATATCCTATTATGCCTCTCTCCCACCCTTGTGGGCAGAAGGGCCAGCCCCACTAGCATGGACAGGGCTGCTGCTGCAGGCTTCCCTGGCATCCGGCTCCCCCTGGGCAGCAGGTTGGGAAGGGGGGGATGGGGGCAGGGCTGCAGCTGGGCTGGGGCGTGGGGCTGGCTGCAGCGCAGAGCCCATGCCTGGAGGGGGTGGGCAGCAGAATGGAGCGCGGGTGGGGCAGGTGCAGCACAGAGCCGTGGCTTGTCTGGGGGTGGTTCCTGCTGCTGCATACCTTCCAGCCAGGAGCTGCTGGTCTGGTGGCTCTTCCAGTGCTTGCCTGCTTGTCCGGCGGATCCCACCACTACTCCTGCCGCTCATCCGGTAAGGCATGGATGGGGCAGTGTGTGCCCCTGGATCTGTGTGGGGCAGGCTGGGCCTGGCGCTGTGCCAAGCTCTTCCTAGTGGGGGGGGCTGCACCAGGAAGGGGGCTATGGGAGGGGGGACTGTAGCCACAAATTTGCTGTAGCCCCTTCCCAGTGCAGCCCTACCC